CTTTCCTAAACTCCAACAGCTACATGAGGTCTGATGGCTGCTGCCCTCACTCCCTGGACAGAGGAGCTGCCCGTCCCGGATTCCAGTTCTGCTGTGCCTCTGCCAGCCCTGTGGCTTTCGGTACATGATTTATACCTTCGGCCCCAGTTTCTTCACTTACAAAATGAAGATCTTGAACAAGACAGTCTCTAAAGAGATGCCTCTGGTTCTGAGCTGTTAGGTCTCCCCCCTCTGGTCTGCCCACCAGACTGCTTCCAAAGAAATCTTTCTAAAACACTGATTTTTTTTCCCCCGTAATATCCTTCAGTTGTCCCTCTTTTCACGTAAATGCCAATCTCCATAGCCTGGCATTATGGATGCCCTACAGGTTGGTGCCGAACACCCCCCCCCCCTTGCCTTATTGTTCCCCACACTCAAGCCAAACTCAGCTACTTGCTTGTGGTCACACTCGTGCCACGCTCCCACCTCTTTGCACCGAGCACCGTCTGCCTTGTGCCGTAAGCTTGCCGGCGGGGGCCACACCTTCTTCACCCTTGTCTCTCGCTCAACACCAGGCACGGAATAGGCACTGAATAAGCAGTTCTCGAACGAATTTATTCAGCCCAAAAATTGCACTAACATTTTTTGGCCATCATATCATATCCTTGATTCCTACTGGGCTTCTGGTCAAAATCCTTAAGCTTTTAAAAAATATAATCTTTAATTGAGTCTTCTTTTGTCCTTTCCTTTTGCCCACCCTTTGAGCTGATATTCAGAACTTCATCTGTTAGTTTAATTTTCGTCCATTGTACTTGTCTTTACAAATGTTTTGTTGTTGGTGTTCTTGATTCTCTTATCTAGTTTATTGGTTTCCCATTATGTTAGCCACAGGTACAATGGGTATACTGACCATTCCACTGAAGTTACTGATAGTAATGTTGAACAGGAGAAAGACGAGTATGGCACCTCATTCTCTAGCTTGACAATGACCTCTTATCTAGCAGTTTTGGGATATGGTTGTTTAAACACATACGACTAGTTGCTCATTTTATTATAAGTCATTGCGTATAGAGACAATGAAGAATAACCTATACATTCATTCAACTCATTTATTAGTGATTTATTATATTTTAGTACTCATTTTATTTACTTCATTTTAATTACTCGTATTTATTAACTCAGTCATCACACGTGAGCCTGGGTGTTAGGCTTCGTATAATATAAAACAATGATGAAGATTTGGCCCCTGTCCTCTTTGAGCTGCAAAGAGCAAGTAGGACTCCTCCACAGACCAGTGTAGTCCAAGGTAGAATGGGGGTAGGTCAAAGGGCTTTGAGAGTCAAAGGGTGGAAAGGCACGTGTCTGCCTGGATGAAGACTTACAGAATGAGTAGGACTGTCGTCAGTGAGGACGAGGATATTAAGTGCAGGCTAAGCTGCTGTACCAAAGAGGTCCACCAGACAGAGGCTTTACTTCGCTGGTAGTTCATTTCTCCCTCAACAGTCAAGGTAGGTGATCCAAGTCTCTCTGCTCTGTCCTCAATATGAGGTTTCCACTTGTGTGTTCAAAGTGACCGCTCCAGTCCTCCCCATTGCCAGCCAGGGAGGCAGGGAGATAGAGGCCAAGACGAACCGCTCAGTCGTTTTAAGGATATAACTGGGAAGTTGCTTATGTTGCTTGTATCCATGTCGTGTTGGCCGGTGCATAGTCCCATGACCACCCCCAGTGGAAAAGGAGTCTGGGAAATGTAGTTTTTCACGGGGTAGCCCCATGCCCAGCCAAAACTATTACTTTTGAAGGAGAAAACAGATTCGGAGAAGGCAATTAACAGTCTGCCACAGGGAGAAAGAGAAGGATTCCATGTGAGGAGAAAAACTGTGAAAGAGAGAGCTGGTGGATTAAATTCTCAGCTGACTGGAAGCAATCGGGGACATAGGTTTGGATTCAGTAGAAAAGAAGTTAAAACTTAAAGAAGAAATGCACTGTCTGGAGAGCTAGAATTCTTCACCTCTGAAAAAACAGTCAATAAAAATGGTAAGAAGAATTTACACTCAAAGGGAGGAGGTACAAAAGGTCAGCCTTTCTGACGGGTGGCTGTGTGATTGGAGGTGGGGTGGAGAGGAGAGGTACGGGAGACTCGCAGCCTAGAAACTGTTCAGAAGACGACAATACTAGCCCGGACGTGAGGAAACAAGGGTGGGAGCAGAAAGAGTAGACTGGAAGGAACGAAGTAAGAGAGAAACACAGCTTGGTTGTCCACATGTGTGCCTCCCGGCAGGCAGCTGGGGGCAGGGAAGGGCAGAGCTGGAGGGCACCAGAGCCTGGCCTCCTGAGGGGTTCAGAATGGGGGCCAGGGGGCCTCCAGAAAGCTCTGCCTTTGCCGTGGTCGGGCACGGGCTTTGCTGCATCTTCCCAAGCCCAACGAATAGAACCCGGTTCTTTCTGGGTAAAACAAAGAGCATCACAAGAAGCTCTGTTCCTGAGAAGGCGTTTTGTTCATGAGCAAGTGTTTTTTTCCTCCATCCGTCCCGATTTTCATTTCTGTTTACGTTCAGTAAGAGCATTACTGAATGTTAAAATAACGTGGCCTGTTTTCCCCTGCCCCTTCCTCGGTCACCAGAGGTAGGTAATCTGTTCTGGAAATGCACCTGTTCTCTGGATTTATATGGGCTCTGATAGGACATGTTTGTGTAACAACAAAAATCATTCCCTTTGGCAGACACCTTGATGCCCTGTGTTCTGTTCACGAGGGATATTTCGCATCTGTTCAGTAGTAGCATTTCCCCCACTAACCAGATTCCCTAGGGTGGCCAGGTTGTATTCCAAATCAAGGAAATCAGAGCTTGTCACTCCTAACGGTTGGTCAGGGCCATGTCTAAAGGGTTGGAGCCCTAGATGGAAGTACACAAGCAACCCCTGCAGATCCTTAAGAGAGGAGAGGCAGACAGTTGGCAAGGGCCTCCAGCGAAGGTCCTTCTTCCCCTCTCTGTCTAAGACATTCCCGTCTGGAAGGCAAGGACATGCATAATGTCGGCGCAATCGTAGCAGCTTTGTTGTACTGAGCACCTGCTTTGTGCCAAGCGGTGGCCTGGGGACTTAGGTGCATGATCTCATTTGTCCCTCACGATCGTCCTATGTGTCAGGTTCTCTCTACCTCCCTTTTTAAAGAAGAGGGATCAGAAAGGTCAGGTGACTTGGGCAAGGTCACATAGGATTCGAACCTCACTCTGCTGGATTCCAGAGTCCAAGCTCTTAATTACTATACTGAACTGCCTAGATGGAGTATGTATTCTGATGCTGTATTGGCTGTTTCTCTGCCTCTTGGGCATTGTCAGCCAGGACGATGATGCCGCGCAGGGGGAGGGTTTCCAGGAGGAGATCGGGAAGAACAGGAGCAGGCAGAGCCTGAACCTGGGCCCTGGAGGGAGGTGCAGGGGACAGAAGGGAGCTTAGCTGAGGGAGCACATGAGTCAGGTGGGCAGATTTACTCCCAGGGAAGTTGGGTGGCATGGGGGTGAAGAGCACAGGTTCCGAAAGCAGGGCGCCTGAGTTCACCCTTGCTGTGTGGCCTTGGCCAAGGTAGTCACCCTTTCTGTGCCTCAGTCTTCCCCTCTGTAAAATGCGCATAAGAACAGTATCCATCTCATAGGATTGTCATGAGGATTCAGCAAGGGAATATATCTGAGACAGGCTGTTGCCCCCGCATACCCCTCTTTCTTCCTTTTCCGTAGTAATGACTCCCAATTTTGAGCTAGGCATGTGGCCTCCCAGAAGAAAGACTATACTTTCCAGCCTCCTTTGCAGCTCTATCTGGCCTTATAAGTATGGCCAATGAGATACAAGCAGATGTTATGTGGCCACTACCCGGAGAGGCCAGCTGGTATCTACTCTTTACTCCCTTTTTCTTTTTTGTCCTTCTTCCAATCTGCTGCCTGGAATGGTGGATGTGATGTCCAGCATTCTGCCTGCCATGGCGAGAATGAGGCCAAGAGTCTTTTTTTTTTTTTTTTAAGTTTATGTATTTATTTTGAGAGAGTGTCAGTGGGGGAGGGGTAGAGAGAGCGAAGAGAGAGAGAGAGAATCCCAAGCAGGCTCTGCGCTGTGAGCACAGAGCCTGACACGGGGCTCAAACTCACGAGCCATGAGAGCAAGACCTGAGCTGAAGTCAGGAGT